CTTCGAGTACCCTGGTCCATATTGGTTGTAGTGAGAAACCAGCTCTTTACATAAACTGATGTTTCTTTTTTTAAAATTTATTTTTAAAAACAAAAAAATTACAATGACAAAAAAATACAAAAATACAAATAATACAAAAATAATACAAATAATAGTGCGTATAATACACAAAATTCTACCGTGCACCCCATACCCATGGGAACCCATTGAACAATATTTTTATTACAAACTTCCTTTCTGAAATTGTATAGATTGTTGTTTAGAGGCTTTCCCTTTCCTTTCACTTATACAAATTCAACAAATCTAATCCAAATAGCATAAAAATATTGGAACATTTCCCCTCTTTTCATCTTGAATTCAATAGTCAATTTATCATTTAATGTGATGTCCCATACTTCACCATACCAATTTTCTAATTTAATATCATTTTTGTATTTCCAAATCCTAGCTATTAATATTCTAGCACTTGTCATAAACTTGGTAATCAATTCCTTGATTCTCTCTTCTCATTTCTCTTTAATTTATCTTTACTCTATTTTCTTGATTTCCACATTTTCATTTGTAGATTTATGTAACTATGTGTTTTTATTAATTGTTTGTATTGTATTGGAAGCCGCTCAGAGTGGTCGCATAGACCAGATGATTACACATTTTAAAGCTATATTTATTCACAAACATTTCTTGTTCCTGTATATTATGATTAAACATCATTATTTATGATTTTTATTTATTTATTTTATTTATTTATTCAATTTATATGCCGCCCAAACTACCCAGAGGTCTCTGGGCGGCTTACAATTAATAATTAATCCTGTTAGTCATCAGAAAATAAATTAATCTTAACTGTATCATTTTTTCCTAATCCTTTAATTAATTCATCATTTCTTATTCCACTAGCTAACAATTCTATAACCATACAAAACAATATTGGTGAAGGTGGACAGCCTTGTCTCGTATCTCGGCCTAGAAAAATCTCTTCTGTTAAACCATCATTAGCTATTACTTCTGAAGTATTATCTGAATATAATCTATAACTCCTCTAATTTTTTTTTTGCCAAATCCCCAACCCCTTATAAGAAGTTTTAATGTTGGCCATTCAACACAATCAGAAGCTTTAAATATGTCCAATGAGGAAACTGTTGCTTTTATTTTTTTTTTCCTTTTCTATCTCATATATAATGTTTAAAACTCATCTAGTTAAATTATCCATTTGTCTACACTTAATGAAACCACACTGGTCTCCCTTAATATAATTTGCTAGAAATCTATTAATCTATTTGCTAATATAGCAGTAAAAATCTTAGCATCTTGGTTTATTAGAGATATGGGCCTATAAGATCCTGTATCTCTTTGATCCTTATTGGGTTTTAAAATAAGAATCATTAATGAATGCTTCCAAGAAGCAGGTATTGTCTCTCCTTCCATTATTTTATTGTAAAACATTTTTAACTTAGGTGTCCACATGGAACTAAAATGCTTGTAATATTCTGGACCCAATCCATCAGGGCCGGGTGTTTTACCATTTTTCAAGTTATTAATAACTTAAGCTGCGATCTGAAGATGCTGGATTTTCCCCCTTTTCCAAGCGGGTTTTTTGGCAGATTTATCCCTTCTCCTTGACATAAAGAGGTCCAATTAAGAGTAATTATTGTTATTATAAGCTTTTCATTAGGAGCAGAGCTATTAGAAAAATCCAGCCACTTATCGGACCCAAAAGTGAAAATAGTTTTCAGTTTTAAAACAACACAGTCCTTCGAGAGTTTAATTAAATATACTCATTCCTTATCTTTCCCTTCAAAGATTTATGCAAAAAGAGACAGTCCTCTAGAAGAAGAAAGAAGATAATTATTGTTATAATAAGCTTTTCATTAGGAGCAGAGCTATTAGAAAAATCCAGCCACTTATCGGACCCAAAAGTGAAAATAGTTTTCAGTTTTAAAACAACACAGTCCTTCGAGAGTTTAATTAAATATACTCATTCCTTATCTTTCCCTTCAAAGATTTATGCAAAAAGAGACAGTCCTCTAGAAGAAGAAAGAAGAAGAAATGCATTTAAAAAGCTTTTTGCCATGCTGGGCGATATGCAGGTTCAGCTCTTAACTGGCCATTCCCCCAAGCGGAAGTGACGTCTCCATAAGCTGATGTTTCTATAATTTGGTTCCTCTACATTTGATAACCGTTGGCTGAACATGTCAAAGAACTGTTCCCACTGAAAAGCATTGCCTCTGTAGGGTTATGAGATGACATTAAATTTTGTTTTGGTAGCAGTTCATTAACAGTTTCAGTTTACTAGAAGTTATGAGTTAAAACCTAAATCTGTCCATTGTCTTCCATGATTTAAATAAGATACTATCAGTTGCCTTGGATGATTCTGAAAAATCCAAGTACACACAGCTACTTTTGTAACACATTATATATAGTCTTTACGTCCCAAATAAGTGATGCTCTATTCCATAGTTATGGCTGGTTCACAAACATACCTCAGCCCTATACTATTTTTATTGACCATCCAAGGTATGAATTTGTGTTGCTTATAGCCACTAGGCCATATGTGTAGAAAAATTCCTTTGATTACTGGGGAAAATATTTTGTTGTTGGTTTTGGTTCATACTGTATTATAATTACCTGATCAAATGTTCAAAAGATGGCCAAAAGGGCTGTGTCAAAGAGAGACAACAGTTGTGAAAAGCTATAGCTATATTCCCAGTTCAGAAAGGGAAGCAATCAAACTGGCACAATAAATATTTCATACAGCATGATTCAAAGGATTGGAGACTGTCTTTTGTAGGAGAAGGATTTAGTGAGTAGTGGTATGTACTAATCTTGCATGCTTATTTGGAAATAGCATGAACAAAATGTCAGAAGGCACCCATTGAAAAACTAAGAATTGTTACTTCACCATTGCCAGGTCCAAAAACAGGATGCAAAAAAACAATTTGTTACACTGGATGTATATATATTTTTTTAAAAAAATCCTATCTCAGGAGGATAAAATAAATTCAAAATGTTCATTAATATAGTGTCTCAGAAGAATAAATCAACCAAAACATGCACAACATTATTTTGTAAAAGTATTTGCCAATATAAAATATTTTAATAATGCTAGTATCACCTTTAAAAAAGACTTGTGAGATGTAGGCAATTATATGCTTGAAATCAGCACAAGCTGATTTAAATTCTTAAAAAGCTGATTTGCACGTGCTAGACTGCTTTTAAAGATTTGGGTTTTTTTCCCCCCAGAACTTAATGTATTTATTTATTTATTTATTTATTTGATTTATATCCCGCCCATCTAGTATAATTATACCACTCTGAGCGGCTAACAACAGAAAAAAAATACAAAACAATATGAATCCATTAACATCCATATTAACAAACATACTAAAAATAATAAATAATAGTTAAGAAAAGAAAAAAGAAAAAATTAAATTAAATAAATTAAATTAATTTAAATGCTGGCAGGAGGGAAGGCCTGGACATAAAGCCATGTTTTTAGTTGAATTTTGAATGTACCCAGCGTAGGGGCCGCGCGAATCTCAGAAGGGAGATTGTTCCAGAGGCGAGGAGCCACCGCCGAGAAGGCCCGGTTTCGAGTCTTTTCCCTCCGGGCCTCCCTCGGC